TGTGATGTAAATTAAGGGAAATGATGCCATTTATTTATTTAAACTCAAATGAAGTTTTTAAAGAAAAAAAAGCTAAACAGAATAATATAAAAAGGAAAATTACCTTAATTGCAATTTTATTCTACTTATTAAAATTCATCTCATTCTCAACTCATTGTTAACAACAAAATATATTTCAATCATACTCTGCGAACTCCGACCTTCTTGATTAAAATCATCATACGTTATTTCGCTGAACAAAACTTAAATGAAAAGTAAAATGTTTCATAATAAACAATCTATGAATGCTTACATATTATCAAAAAATTATATTTCCAAGATTACTTCGTGCAGTGACATATTGAGAGCATTTATAAATAAGGATTTCTTTTTATTCTCAGTTTCCATTTAGTGGAGTGCTGTCCAATTAGTATAGTGAGTTAAGTCTTCACTGGTTAAGGTCAGGATTCGATTCCCCTACATTGAGGTAGTTTTTTTGAAGGCTCCGTCGTAATATGAAATGATGCTTTTTGTGAATAATATGCTATTTTTATAACTGCTGTGAGTTTGCAACTGTTACTCGTGACTGTTTGGTCAAGTTTAGTCTATCAAAAGCCAGCCCTGTCTACGCTTATTTTGAAAATGGCACAAAACGTCAAGATATAGAAAAACCACAGTTTTAAGAAAATGAAAGAGTTTGTGGTCTAATTTTTTAATATTTAAAAACTTACTCCAATGCTGCATTACCTGAGCTCATAAAAATGTGCAGAAACTGAAATATCGCCAAACTGGCAATTTTTAAGAAAGTTTAACAATTTTTAAAATATTTGAGCTATTTATCTGTTCTAAAGCTCAGATAATTCTTCACAGCAAGATTTAATAATAAAGATAGTTTAAAATCATTATGTGTTAAAGACTGTTTTCTGATCCTGAGTGTACTTACTCCAATCTTGTCTTTGAAGTTCGAATCCGGTCTTAGAAGCAGTTTGCCCAGTAGTCCATTCGCCCAACTGTCAAATTTCTTCTGTATGTAACAGGAGTGAACTTAGTTAACCGTGAAGAGAGAACTTAACTCCAGTACCCCATTCGCCTAACACATTAAAATCATATTAATCTTCAATCAAGGGGAATTATAACTCAGGATTTTTCCCTTTTTTTAAGATAAAAGAACTGCTTTTTTGAAAAGAGTGGTTTATCTTCCCTACAGGAATCTTACATTATTATCTATTAAAATTAAATCTTTTTTAATACATTAAGCCTATTATTTTTATGATGCCGGAATACATTCTAATATAATGTCCTCGGTGATTTCAAAGTAGGAGAATTTCATGCAAAGTTACGGAGGCCGGGTGATTACTATCAACAACAGTCTAATCTAAATAAAATTAGTATAGAGTGGGCATGTAGCAATATTGTTTTCGAATTATCATTAGGGATGATCCCAGACCGCTGAACATTAGTGTACTGTAGTTCTAGTGTGGCGTCAACAACCAAATAAAAATCAGTTAATAGTACGAATTGCGTTTTAAATAATTGTGCCGGCAGAAGGTTACTAATAAAAAGCCATATTTATAAACACTAAATTTTTTGTATAAAATTTTTTTAATAGTATGTATTACTCAAAACCGCCATTTTGAATATTATTCTAAAAAAAATTTCGAAAATGAAATAATAACTAGTTTTATAAAGATCACAATTTATTTACACCCTGTTTTATCTGACGAGTTAAATTTTGAAGTAATAATTTATAATAACTCATAAAAAATAAGTCATAATGAGGTATAAGACCATTTACAAAGGCGATAAGTGTTAGCCATCGTAGCTAAAGTGAGCAGTGAACCAAAAAAAAGAAGAAAATATTTAATAAAGTAAACTATATCCCCCTGAATATATTTTGTTCTAATGATCGAACTTTAATTTCCCAAGAACAGTGCAACCAATTTTGTTTAAACATGTGTATTTTCTATTTTAAATTACGGAATTAAAAAATAATAATAATAATATAAAAATTTGCGAACTTTGAAATTCAAAAATTTTTGTGGTTTATAAAACAATAAAAAACAGCAAAATTAATTTTAAAAAAACTTTTTTGTATAGAATCTTTTTTGTATATTTGCTATCAACGAAATTGATGACCCTATTTTTCGACTGCTCTCCTACATACGGGATTGCAATAATATTTTCCGTATTACAGCTCCCCAGTCCGATAGAATGATAAAAAATCTCGAAAGAAGCTATTTTTATTCAGAGATAGTAAGTTTTTTGGGTGATTTCGTAGCTAAATTAATTTTTAGCACTATTTGAATATTTTGAGTTAAACTTTCAAACCATTAAATTTTAATAAACCATTTAACCATTGATTAAAACGTGAAAACCTGATCACGAAAACAAACGTTACACAGGTTAATATCTTTTTCTTTTCTTTTTGGCTCACTGTAAAACGAACTTTTAACATCTGAAAAGCAGCTATAATGCATTCTCTACTGCCCGATAGTTCTATAATACCCAGTTTCTTGAAGTAAATAATTTCTTCGAGTAAATAATTAATAAATATTAACAACAATCATAGTAGCAATTTCATTTTATTTTCTAATCCATTCTTTCATTTTCTTAAATAATTAAAAACCTATAGATATGATATTTAATATTTCTGTATTATTTCCCTGCACTTTAAATGTAAAATTTAGAAAAATTAAATAAATCTAGTAAATATCAGATTTTTGATTAAATTAATCTTTTTAAGTAGTTAATTTCTCATTCTTTTAGCTGAGAGCAAATATAATAACTGTTTATTTACAAATTAAATTTTCAAACTAATGAAATGCAATTATTTGTCACGAAATATATTCGAATAATTTTTGTATTCAAATGAATCAGTGACTTTGAGCATTAGCCATTTGTCAGTTGGAAACAATGGTGAAACGTAATTTACACTTAATAATAGCGTTCCTGCGTGCATTAATATAACATTAATTACTAAAGGGATGTCAAAAGAGATTGCAATTATAATCTTTATAAATTATTCTAGTGCTTAATTCGGAAAGTCATCCATTATTAACTGATGAGATGCTATTTCCAATCACGTTGATATGGTAACAGTTAACAAAACTTTCACTTTACGTTTTAATATGAAAATTGTCAGTGTGCTTAAATCTTTCGTATTATGAATAAGTAAAAACATTAAACTAAATCTGTACTGCATAATGTTGGTTCAGCTTAATGCTCCGAAACATTTTTTTTTCTCTTCGTCTAAAAAAGGTTACTCCATTTATGAAAAGTTAATGATAGTTTTAAGTTTATTAATTTTGAATTATATTTCCTTTGTTTTATGAATAGTATTCAAGCAAAAAGTATAAATTTCGGAAAATTTGTAGGAAAAAAGATGAAGAAGTATTTGAGATAAAACTAACTACTCAGTTTTAGTGAAGAGTGCTTTGTCATGACCGCCTAGTATAAAATTTCCAAGAATCCTTTTCAAAAATGTACTAAGAGAGTTGCAAATTAATAAAGCAAAGAAAAAACAAAAACGCCATCGAAATCAAAAGAATCACTACTAAAGAAGGTAAGATTATAACGATCAAAGCCCGTTTTATTACCGGAGTTAACAAAGAGGATTTTAATTTTAATTGAAAGAAACACCTCCAAGAAACTGCTTTTGATGTTCTCATCTCGCCTTCCTCACCTGTAATCCGACAGATTTCAATGACGTTTTTGCTTCTTTCTTTCCTAAATATTAATTTGCAGCCCTTAATGTGCCTACTTTTGCTAAATTCAATATTGACACAATTCAAAAAAATTCTATATATATTCGGTGACCATTACGAAGTACTCTATGAAGTATTTAATTCAGGAATTGTTAAATATATAGTGACAAAGTGAATGTTATTATATTCAAATATAAAGCCGTCAATACTGATTTGAGATTAAAATTAAACTTGGCAGGCCGATATATGAGATGATTCTTCTTCGTTAGATAAGGTATTGTCTTTTTTTGGTTGATTTTGTTTTCATAATTTTAAATGCTATAAGTTATTGGATTTTTAAAACGCAGAATTTTTTCTTTTTTGGCAGTAAAAAAATTATTAATTTGTATGCTACTTTTAATATATTTTTCTTTCAGAATAAATTATATAAGATTTTTTCAAAATCACATTTATAAACACATGTTGCGGCCTTTAAACAAACATTTTTGTTTTAAATCCTACTATTAAAAAAAAAACTATAGTATTGTCCACTTAAAAGAAGAAGAAAAATCATTTTAACCATTTTTAAAGCCTGGCTAAGATTTTTTTTCCTTTGAAGGAAATCTAGGTAATTCACACTAGATTATTATGGATTTCCTTGCTTTGAAAAGAAAGAACTTAATTTAAATCTAAGGAAAGTAGGTAAATTGAAAACAAAATCATATTTATAGGGAAATCTTATTATCGTTATTTAATTTAAGCTTGCAATTTTTTTTAAGCTTACTCTCTCCTTTTGGGAGTTAGCCATTAAGAAAAAAACTTTTTTGAAATATTGGCAACCCAATAATTGAATTATTAGAATTTATTTTGAAAAAATAAGATATTAGTGTCGACTTTAATAATACATTACAGTTTTAAATCTTTTTAATATCAAAAGGGAAGATTTAACAAATAAAATTTTATTATTATGCAGAGTGGATTACCGAAATGCCTCTCTTAATATATTATTTTAAAATCAAAAATGAAATCAAAAAAGTATATAAGTTAGGGATCACAAATTTATATTAGATTATTAGAGATTTTAATTTATACCAATTTAATTTATATTATTAGATATTTTGAAAACATGTTTCCTTTTCGCTTAAATAGTCATTTGTGACTCCTAATGAGTGTAACTTTTTTTACTTGATTTTGATAAAAATTATAAAAATTATTCTTTAAAAGCGGTGAATAAAGAAACATTCTGCATAATTTTGTGTATAAAATGAGAAAAAAAAACATGTTTTTATTAGATTTAACTTTAAAATTGTTTCTTAATGGCTTCCCTTTTTTTTTCAGCCAATGTCTTTGAAAGTTGCTGAGCTGAAACAGAGTCTTAGTTTTAGAAGTCTAAGGCTGATGGAGTGGAAAGATTCCCAAAATTCTAGTTTGAGGTCTTTTTCTGATTCAGAAACAGTTATTAGTAGTAGTCGTCCGACGACAGAGGAATTCACAAAATCGAAAAGCAAATCCGAAACGAATCTCATTTCCCCGACAAGAAATAAAACAGAAGATCGAAGCTATGACATTTTAAAACATTCCTCCTATTTTGATTCATTTTTTTCAAAATCTAAGAAATCAGACATCGCCAGTGAACTGAAAAATATAAATACTGATTTTAGAAAAGCAACTTCACATAAAAGTGAAGCACTAATTCATCATGACATTTCCAACAATGAAAAATTGAATCTTCAAAGCAATGTAGTATCTCCGAGTGTTTTAAATGAAAAAAACATTGTCAACATAACTACAGAAAATAACTCAAGCACAAATCATAACACATCTACAATGGAACTACCGAATTCGAGTCCATATCCAGTTTTAGAAGGTGAAAAAAATTCAGGATCAAAAACTGAACTTATCCTTGGGGAACCAAGGTGTTTAACCCTAAAGAAGAATGATGCAGATCCGTTCCTAACAGATGATCCTTTAATGTTTGAACCAGACTTTGAGGACGACAACAGAAGTTCTAATAATAAGCCAGCACTTCCCAAAACAGTTGAACGTAAGATAGACAAGTTCATAGGTGATATGTTTGTAGATGAAGATGAAATAAGTTCAACTAGAAAGAAAGGATTGTCGATAGATAGAGAAGAAGGAGAACTCACACCCGAAGCACCTCACAAATCTTCAGACTTGAATAAGGCAAAAGAGCCAAGTTTTAGTGAGACGAAAGCTACCCTTGAGTTCTTCAACAAAATAAACGAATGCCTGAGGGAACTTAACGACAAATGCAGGGAGTTCTACTCGTCATCTACCCCAGATTATTCGCTGGCCCATTTACAACGGACAATGGGAAATGTGGACAACATTAAAAGAAAACTTGCTTTTCTTATAAAATCTAAAAATACTGAGAAGGGAGATAAAGAAAACAAGAAGGAGCATAGAAGCCACTCCAATATGAGATTACAGTCCGAACGTCTTGCTAAATCCAGCTCTACAGTAAATGATAATAAACGAGAACACGATAAACAAGAACACAGTTCCAGTTTGAAAAATGATGTCGAAGAATTATATCGCCAATTGAAAGAAAACCGTGAGAAAAGGTATTCTGAAAATATTTCGAGGCACAGTCATCGACGTGAAAAGCGCAGTCGGGATAAACCTTCACAAGCTGATCTCCTTAACAGGAAGAAAATAAGTATATTAGAAAAACTGGGTACTAAACAGGAAATAGAAAGAGTGCAATCGCTGTTCAAAAGACAAATGAATTTAATTACTCAGCATGTTATTCAGAAAAAAGAAATCGATAAAAGGCATGTATCGAATCAAAATGAAACTCAGAGAAGAAGGCGAAGACGATACCATTCTCATTCACAAGACGAGCTAGAAACAGAGAAACCCCATGATAAGGCCAGTTTGAAGGAACTGAAGACGTTAGAAGATATGGAAGCATTCTTGGATTCATTGAAGAAAGATAAAATGCTGTGCGAGCAGTATATGAACGATCAAAAATCGAAAGGTATGTTGAAGTTCTCGTCCAGGAAAGAAAAACATGTCGTGCAAGACACTCCTGTACCATCCATTAAAGGATCAAGAGATTCAAAAGAAGCTATTAAACAATATTCAAACAAAGAAGTCTGTGATACTGTTATTCAAAAGCTGAATAAAAATTTTCGAGAAGAAGACATAAGGCCGAGAGCTGACGAAATTAAAACAAATGTGACAAAAAATACCACCACTGCTGCTGTAGTAGATAACCTTACTCGTCATAAGACCGACGATCACTTCAAAAAAGCTGGCACAATAAGTGATCCGAATCGTGATTCCCGTTTAAAAATGGACTTGATTAAGAGTACTGATCAAAAAGAATCAGAAAGCTCGATGAATGAAACCGAAAAACACAAGAAAACACATCATCGTTTAGATATCAATCTAAAGCCTGTTGACATAAATAAGGAGGAAATCAAAAAGAGAGAAAGAATTGAGCCCCATAAGTCAGAAAAAGCACATATTTCTGCCGAAACAAAAGAAAATTCTACACGGAAAAGGGAAGATTTATCAGACGCCAATTTAAGAAAATCAGAGAACGAAAACGAAGAAAAAAACAGCAAAAAACAAAAGGTCACCAAGTACCTCGCGGCACGGAGGTTATCGGATGAAAACCCAACTCCAACCGATTGCAACACACGAGATGTTAAAACTATCGTCAGTAACGCTGAATCGTTGGTTAAGGATTTACTATCCAGAAAAGTTGTTATTTTGGATGACAATGGGCTTGCAATGAATAACGAATTTTGTATAAAAGTCATAAACAATGAAGTTTTTTTGAAAAAAGTCAGCAATAAGCGGAAACGAAAACATAGTGGAAGAAGAGCTTTAAAGCCACAAAAAGCGAAAAATATGAAAAGAGATAGTAATGATCAACCACCACACAAAGAAAAAGATGCTAAGCCTAAACCAGATGCTAAGCCTAATTCAGATGCTAAGCCTAAACCAGACCAGGAGAGAATCGAGCCTAAATTAGATCCGGAGCCTGAAATAGATCCAGAAACTATCGATACTACATTAAATGAAATGGAGAATTTTTTACAAGATCTTCGCTCAAAGAGGAAAGTTTGCGATGATGAAACCCGCCATCCAATCGAGCGCACCACTCAAAACAAAGAAATGAAATTCCTAGCCAGGATCCAAGCAAAGAGGAAGGCCAAGCTCATGGCATGCGTATCGGAGGGTATTTATTCAACAGAAAAAGAGGCCAAATTCTTGAAGGCCTTGGAAAAGCGAGATGATGTGTCAGAGTCTTCAGATGTTGAGACTCGCAAACATGCATTATTGGAAAAAATCAGAGCCGAAAAAGATGCCATAGCGGAGAAACCAAAAGCGAAACCAAATGATGACGATCCACTGAAAGAAGTGAAAGCATTTTTGGATATGATCAAGGAGGCCGAATCCGTTAACGATGAAAATGCCAAACATGCTTATGTTTCTTTCTCTTTAAAACGCTCTGATGTAAAAAAATTGGAGCATTTGTCCACCGCTTCTATGTTAACTGAAGAATCCCAGAAATTTTTAAATAGCGTTCGATCTAAAATGAAGGCTAAAAAGGCACCTACTTCAGGCATCGGAGCTTTAATGAGGAAACCTGAATTGTAAAAACTATTTGCCTTAAAATTCTCATGAACTACGAACAATTTTTTCAGCAGTTTTGCTGTCTATGTGTTATAGTTTTCTTTTGTGCACGGTGGTTATTTTTGGAGCAGAGACATTAATATTTTTTATAAGGCTTTGTACTGAAATAAATATTTTAAAATACAAAACTAGACAAGAATCTTAAATTCATTACATTAAAATAAATGCAATGGCAATAATTTTTTGTTTTGATTAGTAATGGATAAACTTGATATGTATATATGTTATGATTAAAGAAAAATAAATTGTTCATCATTAATAATTACTAAGGATTATTATTAATAACAGGTGATTATTAATAATATCCACGTTTTTTGGAAAGTGTGAAAAATTATGCCCATTAATCACACGAACAGATTAATAATAATTGCCAAAGAAGTTTGATACAGTGTGATTAATTATAGATAATTTATTGAAACTTCAACTCGAAAGTAATTTTTATGCGTCTATGTGCTATAATAATAAATCTGCCGTAGTAGAGATGAGTAATGTTAAAAGAGTAAAAAAATTACGTAAAATAAAACACGGATTTTTACTTACGTTTTAATTTAAAATAATAGCTTTTGTAGTTCAATTTGTTGTGCATTTTTATAAATCATCATATCTATTCATGAATGATAATTTCTGAAATCTTGAGTTCATAAATTTTAATAACGTTTCCACCAATTATAGACTTAATAAGTTGCAAAAAATTCGAAACAACTGGTGGATTGATTCCAATGCACTTCAATAAAATATATTCTATATATGTTACGGCTAAAGTAATAAGTCTGTACATTTCACGCAGTATATCTGTTAAAGTAATTAATCTTACTATTAAAGTAATGAAAAATAAATAATATTAATAATAACCGGTGATTCTTAATAATAACAAATGCATTGAAAATTATTACATTAAACAAACTTCATCGGTAATTACTAATAACTGGTAAATGTGATAAATTCTGTTTTATTATTCCCTTGAAAAGACTCACTTGGTTCTTATTAATAAAAACCGGCGATTATTAATATTAACTAGTTAATTACATAGGCCGTATCATATATTCAAGAATTTCATGATATAACTAATAAAGAAAAAAACCTATACAACTCAAAAAATTAAATGTTCAGCGGAACAATTTTTTTTATATTTTATACATATATTTCGATATATTTATATATCATACATTCATTTCGATACATTTATATTTCGATACAGTTTGTGCCACTTTAGCACCAAAGTTAATTTTGACTGCTGTGTTTAGAAAATATACTACTAATGAGAATCAGTGAATACCATTTTAAAAATAGACTTGAGTAGAAAAATAGACTTGAGAAAAATTAAACGTTCCACTGAGTGATTATATTCTTTATTGTATATTCTTTATATATATTTATATACTCACATTTTTTTAATAAACTTAGGAATATCCTTTCATACCACTTATTTATTTTTGAATTGGATATCTTTATAATAAAACAATTGACGAAGAGGGTGCTTCATTTTCAACGGATGCTTTATTTTCAATGAAGAACAGGTTTTAGTCGTTGTAACGGACATAGTATTGTCGAGGAAGGAAGTGCTTAACATGTTTATGGACATAAAATGTGTTACTTCATAACTATAATTATTTGCAGGAAATAGTTGAGACATTAGTTCACGAAATTATCTCTCCTTCTTTTCTTTCTTTCTTTCTTTTTAAAACTTTTATGGTTATTAAGGTGTATCTTTTCATTCACTTAAGGGAAAAATAGATATTTGTTTTCAACAACATTAGTAGTCTTAAGCGATTTCAAAAGATTTCGCTTTTTGATTTCGATTTGATACACTCAAATAAAAAAATGCTAAGCATTTTTAGGGAAACTATATCTTTTTCTGTTATAATTGAAAAAAAAAATATGTATTTACGAAATTTAAGGGCTTACAAGTAATATCTTTTCAAAATTATTTTTCCCGTTTGTCTTTCAGTTATACATTATTCAGTTTTAAACTTTACACAGATTCTCTTCAAGTTACAAAATGTTTAGTCAAATCTCTTTAGATAGACTAAGCTTGATCATATGCCTTTTAATATTTAGAAAACATTTTCTCAGAAGTAAAACCCTTCAAAAAAGAAATAATAATAAAATAACAGTTGAATTTTAAGGAACGTAATACACATTTACTCAAACTAAATTGATTTATAATGATTTATCAGTCGCCAAATTACATGCTCTATTAAGAATAACAACTGAATATTATTCAGATTATAAAAATAATTGCGTCATTTTTAAATGTGCGAAAAACAAAAAGAAAAAAAAAACAAAAAAACAAAAAATTAAGAAGAAGGTAGACAAACTCTATTTAATTTGATGAAAAATTTAAAAAGTTAATAATTTGTGTTTGTTTAAATGGAATAACTAATAAAAAATTGCATAAACATTGATTTCATAAAAATTGTCATATAACGGTTAAAAATTCTAGTACCTCATTTAAAATTGCCTTTCTTTTGTCGTACACGCATTTAACTGAAGAATATTAGATACTAGTCAGCTCCAACCCCAAAGAAACACGCTCGCCAATCTCCAAAGATTATCTGCACGCTCGCCAATCTTATATGCACCGAAAAAAAATTTTAAAAAAATTACGTGTCAAATTAAGGTAAAATTCGATACACTGAACTTTTTACAGTGAAATCACTGAATCACTGGAATTAAATAAATATTAATGTAAAAATTACGGTTTAAAATTTTACGGTAAAAATGGATTTTACGATAAAATGAATATAGCGGATGCTGCATCATTCAGGGTAACAGTACTTTTAAGTGGAGTTTGATCCGTAATTTTTTGTAATGTGGTTTGCTTTACGAATCTTCGTTTACTCCAAATTGGACCTATACATGAAATGTCTCCTAATATTTGATAACATATAATTGTAGAACTTCCATTAAAACTTAAATATTTTCAGAATATTTTTTTTCTTTTTCCCAAAAGTGAGCATCCCAAAAAAAACAACATATAATTTCAAAATATTCGGAGAAAAAAATTCTAATGGAGAATTTTTTTTAGTCAGCTTTGGCCCTGGAAGGTGTGCTTTAATTTTTTTCAGAACTATTAGTTATCAAAAATTTTCGATCAAATATTTTATAAAGTAAATATGAAGACCGTAAACTCACAATTGCTTCGAATTATTTGCCATACACATTCTTTATTGTTAGTTTCGTTTGCTTCGATAAAGCAAAACATTTTTCAATTAATAGACTATATTTTACCTTAGTGCCATTTTTCTACGTTAAAAGTAAAAAGTGTATTCCATACAAAAGAAAAAAAATGTACAAAATCCTTTAGGGGTACAATTTTTCTAAGAGTAAAATTTATTGCTTAGCAAAAGAAAACAAATTTGAAAAAGAAGGAAGTGAACGTCATCATGATATTAATAGTCTGATTGTAATTTTTATACTTTTTGTTAAGGTTGTTTTTCGAAGGCTCCGTCATGATACGAAATGTTGCTTTTTGGCGGATAATATACTATTTTTGTGAATGCTGTGAAATTGCAACTATTACTCATAACTGTTAGGTTACGTTCAACTTATCCAAAGCCAGCGCTGTCTACGCTTATCATAAAAATGGCGCAAAACGTTAATATATGGACAGGGGCGGATCTACTTAAGGGCTTTTTGGGCTGCAGCCCAGGGCCCCGTGGTTACAAAGGGCCCCAGTCCCCACTGAAAACAATAAGTGATATTTTGAATTAAAAAAAATATCTAATATTTTTTGAAAAAAACTATTATAAGGTTGGCAACCCTGAGATCAATCAACCCATGCATGTGCGCGTCTATCGAACGGAACGGGAAATTACCAGTCGCTTGTTTTTGATCAGAGTATTTTTTCGCGTCTATTACGGGGGACTTCCCGCAGCTCCGCTTAACACCCGACGTAATTTTTTCCCCCGCATTTCTGTTCTTGTCGTCAAAGTGACTAGCTTGTTTAGTTTACTAATAGCTGTCTTGACTACCAGCAACCCTCTCATCCCACTGAAAACTATATTGGTGTTCAGCAAGAGGACGGTAATCCCGAGGCGGAAAAAAATTTAGAGAATATTAAGTTTGAGAAACATGTTGACGTGGGCTTGTGGCCAGAATTGCTAAATAATGATTTTATTAATGACATACTCTCACATGAAATGACTGACTTTCAAAATAAAGATCCAAAAAGTATATATTTAGCTTCTATAAAGAAATACAAAGAACAAAACAGAACATTTTTCAAATAGGTAATTCATTCAGAAAATGAAAAATGGTCAGTCACTGGAAATATCTTGGTTATGTTATTCAACTAGGGTTGGTACTATTTTTTGTTTGACTTGCAAACTTTTTTCTAAAATCCCTTCTCAATACAAAACCGGATTTTCTGATTGGAAACACATAGGAGCTTGTTTAGAAAATCATGAAAATTCTAATGAACATAAAAAATCAATGTTAGTGTGGTTGACACGCAGAGATGCCAACTTGCTCCGGACAGCAAATATATATTTTAAAGTGGTAGTTTATCAATTGTGATTTTTGGCTTAATAAATTCAATTTAGTAGATTTTTATCCACCACTATTTTTAAATAATTTGTAGGCTTATATAATTCACCACTTTAAAATACTAATGTCATGCTATTCCTTTTATAAAGCAAGCAAAAATAGTCAAATATTTGCAAAATTTACTGTATAGTTATTTACCGTTTTATTAATTATTTCGGCGTGTCCGGAGCAGTTGGCATCTCTGGACACGTGAAGGCAACAAGTTAATTGTGTCTTTAAAAGATTTCGTGAACAACATAAGGTACCAATCAGATCAAAAGCTAAAGGAATATGAAGAGAAAGCTAAAAAATTAAGTACTAGTGTGGGAATAGACAACAATGACATAAACAAGAGACGTATTACTCCAAAATTTTCAGATAAGTCTACAGATAAGTTCCCAGTATACGGCGCAGAAAAATTTAAAAGAGACACACTAAACGTTGCGTTGGATAAGTTGATTATAGATTTAAATAAAAGGAGCCAAGTCTATGAGATGTATAGCAAGAAATTCAAATTTTTAATGGATTTGCAAGACAAAAAAAAGAAAACATAGATCTGGAATGTTTACGTAATATTGTTGATTATTATCCAGATGACGTAGACGAGCATTTAGTGAATGAGTGAATTAAGTTAAAATCTTATTTACTTCAGTCTAAGTCAGAGTGTTACACCTCTAGCATATGAAATTTTTATGCTAATTTATGAAGAGAAATTTGTTGATGTTTCCTACACTATCA